GGTTAGGCCTTTTTAGCCTCCACTACTTAGTACTATTTTAGTTATTAAGCTCTTTTTGCTGGTTATTACAATTATAGGAAAGCATGTAACGTTACCTGAGGGGAAGATACTTACTTATATCTCTTTTGTAAGGGAGAAACACAGTTTTCATACATACAGAAAGAAATACAGCTACTTATTCAGGGAGAATTTCCCTGTTTCCCTTGTTTTTCTCTGCTTTTCTTTGGTTTCAGGTCTTGCCGGAGTTCCAGGAGCTGCTGCTGATCCATGGGTTGCATCAGGTGGTATCAGAGCCGAAGCAGCGGGATGACAGATAAGGGCAAGGAACCGGTGGTTGAAGATAATCGAAGCCTGGAATCGCTGTGGGCAAACCAGGCGAACATAATGCGGCAGCTGGAAGTGCTGTCCGCCGATGTTCAACGCCTCTCCGTCGAAGTACGCCGCGAGTTCAATCTCAACCGGACAAGGACAACGCCCCATCAGCATCATCGAGCTCAAGCACCGGCTGTGAGTCCGAGAGCACGACATGGGATGGACCTTGGTCGGCCAGGGCGTCGCAATCCTTTACCGATTCAGGAGGGCTCAGAGTCGGAAGATGAAGTGCATTGACACGGTGGAATGAATGCGGGGAACTCTGAGGAGGAAGATTACAGCGAGGAAAATGCAGAGCAATACAGACGGCATCAACGGCCAATTCCCCCGCTGAGGACTCACACAGAATTCAAAGCCAAGGTAGATATACCTTATTTCGATGGGCATCTGCACATAGAAGATTACCTGGATTGGGAGAAGGCGGTAGAAAACTTCTTTGATTACATGGATGTCGAACCAACAAAGCACGTGAAGTATGTGGCTTGTCGTCTCCGCAGCGGAGCAAGTGCGTGGTGGTCGCAGATACTCCAAATGCGGCAACGAGAAGGCAAGGGGCCTGTGCGTAGCTGGACGCGAATGAAGCAGCTGATGCGAGCGCAATTCCTCCCGACTGATTACGAGCAGATCCTATACATGCGCTACCAGCATTGTGTGCAGGGAAACAGGTCCGTCAGTGAATATACCGAAGAATTCCAGCGCTTGAGTGCATGAAACAACCTGCATGAATCGATGAACCAGTTAGTTGCACGGTATGTCGGTGGCCTCAAGGATAGTATTCAAGATAAATTACAATTGAATGCAGTGTGGTCATTAGCTCTGGCCATCAATTTTGCGTTGCGAGCGGAGACGCAACAGAATCGACCTCTCAAATTTACCTATACAAGACGCTCATTTCAAGATCCGTCCAGCGACCATGCAAGAGGGAGTTCATCATCTATGAAGTCTCTGCCTAATACTGGCCCGCCTTCGCAATCCCCTACAATCCAGAAACCTTCTGGATCAATTCCTGAGAGTAAGCTCCAACAGAAAGTGAAAGCCCCTGTGTCCAGCAACCCGTATACTCGCCCGTCCACATTGAAGTGTTTCCGTTGTTTCCAACCGGGACACAAATCCAATGAGTGCCCACAGCGACAGCAATTACAATTGGTGGAAAATGAGGAGGGTGATTCCATCAGTCAGCAAGGTGAAGAGGAAGGACTCAAGGTCGAAGAACTAGAGGCCGACGACGGAGATGCCGTCGTCTGTATGCTAGAGAAACTGTTGGTTGCCCCTCGGCAGACCACTCCCTCCCAACGTAATGCAATATTTCGGACACGGTGCACAATTAACGGGAAGGTGTGCGATCTTCTGATAGACAGTGGGTGTACAGAGAATATTGTTTCTCGAGCTGTAGTGCAAGCCCTTCAGCTTAAAACCACAAGAAATCCACAGCCCTACAAGATAAGCTAGGTCAAGAAGGGAATTGATATTCCAGTGACGGATATGTGCCAGATAACGTTCTCGATCGGGCGACAATACGTATGCGAAGTACTATGCGACGTATTGGACATGGACATTTGCCACTTAATTTTAGGCTGGCCGTGGCAATTCGATGCCGGGGTAACCTATGACGGCAGGGCGAACGTGTATTCTCTCGACTGGAAAGGGAAACGTCTGAAGCTGTTACCAGGAATTCGTGACACCAGAGCACCGACCGCGTCCTCTACAATGATGCAGATCGTGTCAGGCTCTACACTATTACTCAGTAGATTAGAGGCTGATCCAATCTGGGCGCTAGTTGTCACAGATTGAGTTAGTTCACACCAAGGAGACGTCCCTGAGGAGATTCGCAATTTGCTGGAGGAATTCAAAGGAATCTGCCCACATGAACTGCCTGCTGCTCTACCTCCAGTGAGACATATTCAGCATCAAATTGATTTCATACCAAATGCCACTCTACCGAATCTCTCCCATTACCGTCTCAATCCCAAAGAGCAGCAAATTCTGCAGTCCATTATAGATGAACTATTGGAAAAACAGCTGATACAGACCAGCATAAGCCCATGTGCAGTCCCTGCCCTGCTAGTTCCCAAGAAGAATAATGAATGGCGGCTATGTGTTGACAGCAGAGCTATAAACAAAATCACCGTTAAATACCGGTTTCCCGTTCCCAGGATTGATGAGCTGTTGGACAAATTAGTGGGAGCTTCTATATTTTCCAAACTGGATCTTCGCAGTGGTTATCACCAGGTCCGTATCCGCCTTGGCGATGAATGAAAAACAGCGTTTAAGACGCCTTTCGGTTTGTATGAGTGGCGAGTTATGCCCTTTGGCTTGTGTAATGCCCCATCCACCTTCATGAGGCTTATGCAAGATATACTAAAACCCATATGGGGAAAGTTCTGTATATCCTACTTTGACGACATTTTAGTCTACAGTGACACTTTGTGCCGCCACCGAGAACATCTCAGACAGTTGTTTGAAATCCTGCAGAAGCATCAATTGTTCCTCAATCTTGGTAAATGTCAGTTTGCTATAACTCAGGTGAATTTTCTTGGGTTCGTGGTGTCTCCTGAAGGCCTTAAGATGAACCCGGACAAAGTAGCAGCCATCAGAAATTGGCCCACCCCGACATCTTTCACCGAAAATTGCAGTTTCCATGGTTTAGCGAATTTTTACCGGAAATTTATAAGGGGCTTTAGCCTTATAATGAGTCCTCTCACCGAGTGCTTAAAATCCAAGTCATTTAAATGGGGTGAAAGTCAGCAACGCAGTTTTGAAGCAATAAAACTTGCCTTGACAACAGCGCTGGTGTTAGCAATTCCAGATTTTGAAAAGCTGTTTACGGTGTCAACGGATGCTTCTTCCCTCGGCATTGGAGCAGTGCTTTCACAGGACAGCCGACCAGTGGCGTATTTCAGTGAGAAACTGTGCCCGTCTCGACAGAAATGGTCGGCGTATGAGCAAGAATTGTACTCGGTGATCCGTGCTTTGAAACAATGGGAATCCTACTTGCTGCATCAAGAGTTTATTATATGCATCGATAATGAAGCTCTCCAATTCATTAATAGCCAGAAACACGTCAACCGGATGCATGCACGCTGGGCGACGTTTCTTCAGAAGTTCTCCTTTACTTTGAAGCACCAAGCGGGTAAAAGTAACGTGGTAGCTGATGCACTTAGCAGGAAAATGACTCTTGTCACACAGTTACAAACTGATTTTTCTGGCTTGGCTTGTATTAAAGATTTATACGCCACTGACCCTGACTTTGCAGAGATTTGGAAACAATGCCCTCCTCAGGGAAGCAATGCTGGCTTCAGCATTCGTTTGGGATACCTGTTTCGGCACAACCTCCTATGCGTTCCTGTATCTTCATGGAGGACTCACATCATTCAGGAAGCACATTCAGGCGGTTTGGCCGCCCACTCTGGCAGAGACAAGTCGTTGGCAGCAGTTCAATCCCGTTTCTATTGGCCCCGCCTCCGGCGAGATGTTTACCGGTTCGTCGATCGTTGCTTCGTATGTCAGACTTACAAAGGCGGTTCTCAGAATACAGGACTGTATTTACCATTACCAGTACCCGAGTCTATATGGGAGGACCTCAGCTTGGACTTCGTCCTTGGGCTACCACGCACGCAGCGAGGTAACGACTCTATAATGGTAGTTGTCGATCGTTTTTCTAAAATGAGTCACTTTGTATCTTGCAAGAAAACGTCCAATGACATGCATATTGCCCATCTGTTTTTCCATCAAGTCGTTCGGCTTCACGGTGTTCCCCGGAGCCTCACGTCCGACAGGGACGTCAAATTCATAAGCCATTTCTGGCGGGAACTGTGGAAAAGGTTAGGTACCAAGCTGTGTCTCAGCTCGGCTTATCACCCCCAATCAGATGGTCAAACGGAGGTCGTGAATCGAACGTTGGGAAATATGCTCCGGTGCTTAGTCCAAGATCACCCTAAATAATGGGAAGAGATGTTAAGTTCTGCCGAGTTCGCATACAATTCTATGGTTAATCGGTCGACGGGCAAATCACCTTTCAGCATTATCTATTCAAAGTCCCTAATCTTGCACTGGATATTGCTGTCCTTTCAAAATTCAAGTCGGAGCCTGCTTCAAATTTCACTAATAACTATGCAGAAATGTTAGACGAAGTTCGTAAGCAGCTCGTCAAGTCCAATAACACATATAAGACGGCGGCTGACACTCGTCGTCGACAGCAATTGTTCAATATTGGCGACTTAGTTATGGTACAAATGCGGAGAGAACGTTTTCCTCTAGGCACTTACTCCAAATTACACCGCCGAAAGATTGGCCCTGTACCAATCGTCGCCAAGATAAATGACAATGCATACGTCGTAGACTTACCGACCGACACTCAGACTTCTAGCACCTTCAATGTTACCGACATTTGGCCATATCATTCCGCCGATGATGCTCCCATTCTACTCAGCTCGTCAGAGTCGAGCTCTTCTTCCGCCGGGGAAGACTGATGCAGCGTCCACCTGGACGAGTTGTGTCTACCAGCACCTTTACTTACTACTATAGTCTTGCTTACGGTTAGGCCTTTTTAGCCTCCACTACCTTTAGTACTATTTCAGTTATTAGCTCTTTTCCTCTACTTTTAGCTGGTTATTACAATTATAGTATAGTAGGTAACGTTACCTGAGGAGGAGCAAATTACATATACTTGTATTGGAAGACAGGGAGATAATTTTTCATCATATAGAAATACAATACAGATACAGGTTCCGGGAGGATTTCCCTGTTCCTCTTGTTCTTTTCTTGCTTTTCTTTGGTTTCAGGTCTCGCCGGAATTCCAGGAGCTGCTGCCGATCCTTGGGTTGCATCAGGTGGTATCAGAGCCGAAGCAGCGGGATGACAGATAAGGGCAAGGAACCGGTGGTTGAAGATAATCGAAGCCTGGAATCGCTGTGGGCAAACCAGGCGAACATAATGCGG